AGTCAGCATGGCGTGGTGGCTCACACCTATAATCCCAGCACTTTGGGAGGCCGAGGTGGGCAGATCATGAGGTCAGGAGATTAAGACCATCCTGGCTAATACGGTGAAACACTGTGTCTACTAAAAACACAAAAAATTAGCCAGGCGTGGTGTCATATGCCTGTAGTCCCAGCTACTTGGGAGGCTGAGGCAGGAGAATCACTTGAACCTGGGGGACAAAGGTTGCAGTGAGCCAAGATAGCACCACTGCACTCCAGCCTGGGTGACAGAGTGAGACTCCATCTCAAAACAAAATAAAACAAAACAAAACAAAAAACCGCAGCATTCTGGGGCTGAGGCAGAAGGATTGCTTGAGGTCAGGAGTTTCAGACCAGCATGGACAACATAGCAAGACCACATCTATCAAAAAAAAAAAAAAAGATCTCCTGGCGCATCTCTTCTCCACTATTCTGAACATCCTCTCATATCTCCCTGGCTGTTCCTCACACATAACCACCACATTCACACCTCAGGGCCTTTGCTCTTGGTCCTCACCCTATCTGAAATGTTCTTCCCCTCAGCATCAGCATGGGTGCTCTTTCGGCATCTTCAAGTCTCTGTTCAAAGGCTGCCTTATCAAAAAGCATTTCCCAGACCACCCCATAGAAGAGAAAAACGACTCTGTCCCCCTACCTCCTGACCTTTCTTATTTCCTTACACCACTTAATTTTTTTCCCATTGCACTTATCATCACCTGAAATATTGCATGTTTATTTTTTCTTTCCCCCTCTAGCAGAATACAAGCCTTTAAGGCAATTTGTTTTGCTCATTCTTCTATGCCCAATGTCTAGGACAATGCCTGGCACGCAGCAGGCATACAACTCTTCTGAATGAATTCATGTGATATTATGTATCTGTTAAATCATATTTCTTGGTTTTCATGTATTTAATTTTGTAAGAATACTTTTAAGACTTATCTGTCATCAAGGAATCGAACTGAGCATCCTTGACAAACCAAATAACGTATGTTCTAAGTCCGTCATCTAAAGGAGTATTTGAGGAATAGTAACAGTATGGATAAGGGAGCCCTCACCGAAGCAAACGTGTTTGTTGCCTCTTCCGGATAGATGGATTAGACTCAAATACATGAGGCCGTTTCCGTTTCTTTCCTGTTGCCACAGCAGCAGCAGCGGCCATTCCCACAGGACCTGAAATAATAACGTACGTGTTAAGATTAGGCAGCAGCCTATAAACTGTTCAAGACAGAAACAATTAAAGGTACAAACAAGGTAGCATTGCTTTCCTAATATGTTGTCTTAACATGTTTTCCTAATACGTTGCTTTCTTCAAATGTTGTATAGAATGGTCCTGATATTATCAATATACTTCACTATTGGTCCTGATATTATCAATATACTTCTCTATTGCTTAACATGATTCATATTGTGATTTACCAATAAAACATACAATGAATCTTTTTAAAAAGCAAATGATTTATACCTCCCCACCACACACCAGTTTGAATTTTGCATAATGTTGTTTTTGTTTGGTTTTGTTTTGCCAGCATCCCATACTGTTAAGGCAATATTCTTAGAGGTGCTAGGAAAAATTGCAGCACCGAGAGGAGAAGCTTGCCAAAACTGAAAAAACGTACAGATTTCAATACATACTTCTATCCCTGTGCCCCTGTTTCCATTACTCCAAGACACTGCCAAGTTAAAGAAGTTGGAGATAATCACTCATACTTGGAACCCCACAACACCTAAAGGAGTATCTGGATGAATACCATCTTAATTGAAAAACTTTCTTGTAGATCTGGGAATTGTGCCAAAAAAGGAGATGTTCAACGCAAGGTCAAATTGATGAAGGCATTCTGGCAGAAAAGAGATAACTTTCCCACTGTGAGAAAATGTTAATAAAAGATGGCCTGGCTTGCCCTGAAACTAATGTATAATGTTTTGTTTTGCCTTTTGAAAGGGAGATGGAGGGTAGACTCTAAGGAACTATTGAAGTCTCTGATTCCTGGGACCTCAACATATCAAAGACAATCTTTTTTAAAAGACATTTTAACTTTATCCTTATTTGTGAATCCTTATTTTTTATCCTATTTAAAAGGCTTAAATAAAAACTAAATTTAATTGCTCATCTGGATGCTGGCATATATATTCTAAGTCGCTCAAATAAAATAAGCTTTCCTGTAAACCTAAATGAACTTCTCTACACGTTGTTAGTAATATAATCAGCCTGACTTAAATAAACCCCTCTAAAGAACCTCAAAGCAAATAAAAAATAAGCAACTGCTTTTTACCTTTCTTTCCATCACAAATAGCTGTTAGGAAAAAAATTTTATTGCTGCATTTCCCAACACTTTATTTTTCAAAATTGTGGTAAGAACACTTAACATGTTATTTACTCTCTTAAAATTTAAAGTGTACAACACATCATTGCTAACTAGAAGCCCAATGCTGTACGGCTATCCAGAACGTATTCACCTTGCATCACTGAAGAGCAATTCCCCATCTGTCCCTCACCCCAGACCCTGGCAAGTGCCATTCTACTCTTTCTCTATGACTATTTTAAATATCGTATATAAGTAGAATCATGCAGTATTTGTCTTTCTATGACTGGTTTGTTTCACTTATCATAATGTCCCCAAGGTTGAACCATGTTGTCACATATGACAGAATTTCCTTCTGTTTTTAAGGGTGAATAATGTTCCACTGTACATGCAGATCAAATTTGCATTAGCCAATCATCCACTGATGGGTATTTAGGCTGTTTTCACATCTTGCTATTGTGAACAATACAATGAACAAGCGAGTGCAGATATCTCTTTGCGGTCCTGATTTCAATTCTGTTGGATAAATACTAAGAAGTGAGACAGCAGGATCATAGACAGTAGTTCTATTTTTCACTTTTTGGAGGAATCTCCATGCGGTTTTCCATAGCAGCTGGACCACTGTACCTTCCCACCAACAGTATATAAGGGTTCCAGTTGGGCCACAACCTCACCGCCACTAGTTATGTTGAACGGCCATCCTAACAGGTATGAGGTGGTCTCTCACTGTTGTTTTGATTTGTATTTTCCTACTGTTGTTCCCCGTGATGTTGAGCATCTAACCTATTGGTGATTTATATGTCTTCTTAACAGAGATGTCTATTAGAGTCCCTTGCCCATTTTTAGAATTGGCTTATTTTGGTTTTTTGCTATTGAGTTGTAAATACTTCAGCAGGCATAGCATTAGCTAGAGTTCAATACTTCTTTACAATTTTTTCTTTTGAGGTAAAATTTGCATATAATATACAAATCCAAGCATACATTCAATAAATTTAAAAAAATGTATATACTCATGAAACTCAAGATCTAGCCAGGTGCAGTGGCTCATGCCTGTAATCCCAGCACTTTGGGAGGCCAAGGCAGGAGGATTACCTGAGGTGCGGAGTTTGAGACTAGCCTGGCCAACATGGAGACACCCCATCTCTACTAAAAATACAAAATTAGCTGGGCGTGGTGGTGCACACCTGTAGTCCCAACTACTCGGGAGGCTGAGGCAGAACTGCTTGAATCTGGGAGGCAGAGGTGGAGGTTGCAGTGAATGGAGATCATGCCACTGCACTCTAGCCTGGGTGACAGAGCAAGACTGCGTCTCAAAAAAAAAAAAAAGAAAGAAAAAAAGAAAAAAAAGAAACTCAAGACCTATAATAATAGCATCACTCCGGAAAGTCCTTTTATGTCCCTTTTCAGTCAATTCCCGTCCTTACTTCTCAAAGATACCTACTATTCTCATTTTTTTCACTGTACATTAGAGTTTTGCCTATTCTAGAGCTTTAGATAAATGGAATCATATGGTAAATACTCTTTCATTTAAAACTTCTTTCACAGGCCGGGCGCGGTGGCTCAAGCCTGTAATCCCAGCACTTTGGGAGGCTGAGGCGGGTGGATCACGAGGCCAAGAGATCGAGACCATCCTGGTCAACA